CCAGCAGGTTGAGGGAGGTGATTCTCCCCCTGTACTCTGCCCTCGTGAGACCTCACTTGGAGTACTGCGTCCAGTTCTGGAGTCCCCAACATAAGAAGGACATGGACCAGTTGGAGAGGGTCCAGAGGAGGGCCACGAAGATGATAAGAGGGCTGGAGCACCTTTCCTATGAGGACAGGCTGAAAGAGTTGGGGCTGTTCAGCCTGGAGAAGAGGAGGCTCCGGGGTGACCTTATAGCGGTCTTCCAGTACCTCAAGGGGGCCTACAGGAAAGATGGGGAGAGGCTGTTCAGGAGGGCCAGTTATGATAGGACAAGGGGTAATGGTTTTAAAATAGAGGGAGGTAGGTTCAGGTTGGATATTAGGAAAAAATTTTTTACTATGAGAGTGGTAGAACACTGGAACAGGTTGCCCAGAGAGGTGGTGGATGCTCCATCCCTGGAGACGTTCAAGGCCAGGTTGGACGAGGCCCTGAGCAACCTGATCTAGTTGGAGATATCCCTGTTCCTTGCAGGGGGGTTGGACTAGATGACCTTTGAAGGTCCCTTCCAGCCCTAACCATTCTATGATTCTATGATTTATGTGAGTCAAAGGAGTTAAAATTTGGCATGGGCGTTCTGTCGGCCTACTCCTGCCTGCAGGAGGTGTTTTCTCTGTGCAAATGGATGTGAGATGGAGAGGTGTCTGTAGATCAGATTGATTGATTGAAATACCCAAAGTTTGGGACAGCTGTTATTTTCTTTCTCTCTGGAGTCAGTGGCATACCATTTGTTATTGCTTGGACAATTTGATATTTATTACCATGTTTGAAGAGTCTTTTAGTAGTACTTTCCACTCTCAAGGATGTGCTTAAAAATGCTGTTGCGTAGGCCAGTGATACACTCTGCACTTAACAATTAAATATTATTTGTGAAAATACCTTAGAAGCATGAGGCTTAAGGAAATTAAAACATGTTGTATTTTAATGGCATGTTTCATATGTAATATTTTATTTTTAAGAATACCAAAGATAAAGAAAATCTGCTTGGCCAAATGGAAGAGGATATGCAAGATACAATGCAAGAGCCATACAAAAGCATAGGAGAAAAAGAAGAACATGTTAAAAGTCTTCAGGATCTACTGACATCGGAAAGATTTAGCTTGTCTATATTACAACATATCCTTTCTCTCCGGGACTCAGAAATAACAGAATTAAAAAATGAAATAGCTTTATACAAGATGAAACAACATCAACATATTGAAGAACTGAAAATCAGTCATGAAAAGGATATTTGCAGACAGCTGGAGAACTTGAAGGCTGATCTGGAGAAGTGCCACAGAAGAGAGATTGCAGAAGCCAAGCAAGTATATGAAGAAGAAATTATTTTAAAATATAAAAATGAACTTGAACAGTTAAAAAAAGAACTCTGTGCTCTGAATTCTGAAGAACACATTCAGAATTTGAATGGCATAATAATTGACTTACATAATAGCCTTCGTGAGTCTGAAATTGGTAAAGAAAATTTGAGAAGGAAACTTGAAAACCAACAGGAAGACTTCCAGAGAGAAAAATCTGAAATTGAAACTGAATACCAGGATTTAATTGATGGCCTTAAGTCTCAACTTTCTGATGCAGAAGAGCAGGTCAAGGAAGCCCAGCGATATAAACAAGAAAAACAGTCCTTGAATGAAGAGATTCAGAAACTGAATTATTTCATCCAGGAATTAAATGAAAAGCGACTTTACGAGGCTGAAAAAAGTATAGATGTAAGGCAAAAGTGTGATGAAGAGATTGTCTCCAATAAAAAGCTAATTAAATTGAGGAAAAAACAGATTTTACCAGAGGTGTTGCAGTTGCAGAGAGCAGAGCTTGAGGAAATGTGGAATAAACAGCACGAGTTGGAAGGTGAAGGTGAGCTAGTTCATGAAGAACTAGAGTTCCAGTGTTACTTGAGAGTAGACTCCTCAAGGGATCATTTAGAAGAAATTAATAATTCAAAGATCACAGAGAATAGTGAAAGTAGTGAAGGGGAGAACCTGTGTGAAGCACACTTGTCAAAACCAGGGCTTTTCAGTGATGATGAAGGCGTATTGGCTAAATATCTCATCTCCACAGAGAGACCAGAAGAGTCATATGTGTCCAGCGCTTCTGAAGGCTGTACCATTGAAGAAGGTAGATGCAGTAGGGATGGATTAGACAGTAATGTGCTTTTAGAACCCTGCAGAGGTTTTCTATCTCCTCCATTAAACTCTGGCCTTGATGAGGAAACATGTCCTAGTGGTTTGGCTCAAGAGACTTTTGAAGAGGCTGAGGTGGGAGCAGAGGCCTTTGTTTCATTTTTGTCGGATAGCTCCTTGCAGCAAAACAAAATAAATGACCACAATGATGCCAAGGATGATGAGACTACTTGTTCAGTAGAAAGATGTGTGCAGCTAACTGAGCAGCTCCGTGAGAAGGAGTCAGCCTTGAAGAAAGATTATCAGGAGACCCAGGAAGCTGTTGGAAAATGGGAAAAAGTAATGGCTGAGCTCTCTCGTATGTGTGTGGAACTGGATAAGGAACGCGAAGCACGGATCCATTGTGAAAAAGAACTTCTTCTAAAAACAGAGAAGGAGAAAGAACTTGAAAACAAAATAATGTTTCTAATAAAGGAGCAGGGTGAGGATGGAGGCCAACCTTACTGTGCTGTAGAGCCTTTAATGGAAGCGTCAAAATCTTCTACCTGGCAAGAAATGGTAAAAGACCTGCAGAAAGAAAGAGAGATATTGATGGTGCAGCTGCGAACTCAGGAACAATTAGTGAAAGACGTTCAAGAGCAGAAAACAGCTTCTGATTCTGTAACAAGTGAAGTACAGCCTCTTTTGGGACGTCAGTTAGCTGCTTTGCAAAGTCAAAGGGATCAAATGCAAAGCCAGCTTGACGCTAAAAACCAGACGATAGCAGAGCTGCTTGGTCAGAAAACCGTATGTGAAGAGATACTGCTAAAAGAACAGGAGTTGCTCAAAGCAGAAATCAATAGTAAAGAACAAAATTTAGCACAATTATTGAAGGAAAACACAGCCTTAGGAGAAAGATTATCTGACGTGAAGGAGAAGCTAATAAAAGCAGAAAAAGCACTGGCAGAGAATGCTAGCATCATTGAGGATCTTGAGAAAAACATACATGAACTGAATACTGAAGTGAAAAACCTCAAAGAAATACAGGAGTGTGAAAGACTGGGATATGAGGACAGGCTAAACTTCAGCAACCTAGAAATTCATAAACTTAATGCTGAAATAGAGGCAAAAAGTAATGAATACAGTGAGAAAAAAAGCCAGCTGATGGAAGAAATTGCCCATTTGGAGAAGGTTCGTTTGGAGCTTGAGACGCGCTTGCAGGAGTCCTTTCAGTCTGCACAAGCTGCACAGGAGGCACAATCCGAGATGGTGAAGCATTACAGAGAGAAGATGGATAAAATGGAGGCTCAGCGCCTTGCTGAATTGACTAAAGTGAGTTTGACACACAAGAAAGAGGTAGGAAACGCTGATAATGGCAGTCTTGAGATTTCAGAATGCTTGAGGTAGTCATTGCAAATGTTTGTACACCTGTTTTCAGATAGAAGAATTAAATGCAGAAATAAAAGATAAAGTAGAAAAACAGCAGAAGTTGGAAGAAGAAAGAAAGGAACAGATTACTTTAATAAAAAAGGTAAATGCTGTATTTGGGTTTATTTCAGGAAAATAGACTTATTTTGTGGTGTTTGTCATTTAAGTAGTATAAACATTTTAGATATACAAAAATCTATTATTTTTTTTTCCCTGTGGTGTCTTCGATGTGGCGTCAGGAGGAGGGAAGAATTATGGCTCAATAAATTTATGAGGGGGTTAACTAACCATATTTTGAAGAAAGCTCTTTATCTGAGTGCTCTCTGCAGGTCCATGAACGAGAGCATGTTCGTGAAATCTCTGAACTGATGACTCAGCACGAAGAGGAAATGGAGAAGCTCCGTGCTGAACTAAATAAAGAACAGCAGCACCTGTTGGATGAGCTTCGTCAGCAAATGGCAGCCACACACAAAGCAGAGATTGAGCAAGCTCAGCTCCAGTCACAGGTAAAACAAAGAAACACTGTCATTAGTGTACTGGCTCCCTGGCTGTTGCAAAGAGAAGGCTCCTTGATTTTTGCGCATACTGTGTGTGCTTTTTTATGTAGTGGTGCATTTGAAGAATTAGGAGTGTTCCCTTGGTGCATGGTGGTAGATATTTTCTATAGGAGTTCTCTAGGATCCTCACTGCAGTTATGTTTTAACATTAATTCTGAAGATAACTGGATGTTTAAATTGATGGGTTTAAAAAAAAAAAAACACCACCAACTTTGTCATTTTTTGTGTCTTGAAGTTTAACAAGTAAATTTATAAAAAATACTAAACCCCTCCCACTTCTTAATTATCCCACTAATGTAATTAAGAATGCTTTCAAGCTAAACTTAAGTATGGAAACCTGACTCTTTCCTCTAAATATTTACTGGGTTTTTGAACACTTCCACTAAATGCAAAGTGGAAATAGAAGGAATATGTCTAGTGTTAGGTCTAATTACAAGATGTTGGTGTTCTGTTTAGTTTGTTTAAGAATTGAAAAGTTTAGTTGGTCCATTTTAGCTACCATTTCTAACTGATGGATATTCTTCACTCGTTTTCTTAATGAGGCATGGCAAATTTTGTTTCCACTTTTCCAATACCACTTCAGAATTTGGCTTTTTAACAAATCATAACCAATAGCAAATATAAGGAATACTTTTAATGGACTGTGAAAGGTTGGGGTGCGTTTGTGTTCTGCTCTGATGACGTTGTGAGGAAGTGGACAGATACACGATATTTTGGTAGGAGATGAAGCTGAGACAGGTAAGGAGAGCGTTTTAGTTTGCACTGAAAATGTTATGCAAATCTCATTGTAACAAAAGTCAGTTTGTTTTCAGGGTTTTTTCTCTGCCATGAAGAAACACTCAAAGTACAGAAAGGCAGAACTTAAATGTGTTTTAACAGTTGAAAGCACTTAAAACTGAAACTGGTAATGAAAAAAGTGAACATATTTTTCATTAGAGGGGAGGGAGAAACCCTTTTTCTGCTCCGTTACAGACGCTGCACAACCTTGAATTGGAAGCTTTACGCCTAAGCTTAAATAATATGCACACCTCTCAGCTTGAGCTTACACAGTCTAACTTGAGGAAAGAAAAGGAAATTGCCCTTGTGGAACTACGAGAGATGCTGAATGATAAGCGTGCTCAAGAGGTAGCAATTCTGCAAAGCCGCCATCAGCTGGAGTGTGAGAAGATTAAAGAACAGTGTCTGAAGGAAAAAGAACACCTTAAGTCAAAGTATCAGCAAGAACTAGGTATTAAAATTTGGGAGTAATGGACCAGAAATGGACACCCCGTCAGTGTTTTTATTCTTCCACAGGTTCCTGAGATGGTGTACAGCTGGCGTTTTTCAGTGACGGCTGGTGTTGCCTAAAATAGCGATGGCGGCTAAACTGGCATGTGCAAGAGTGCATGTCTTATATGCAAAAGTGAAGTTGTCCAGATCTGGGTTTAATTTTTCTTCAACTATATGGCTGTTTAGCTGCTACTTCTGTAAAATAGCACTATACTGAACTAGTTACTTTCAGGAGGCATTAGATCGAGCTCTCTTAAAGAAATTTGTCAGTGCAAAGAGTAGAGCACTTACCCCTGACGTTTCTTAAGGGTTTTTATTGCCCAAGTCAGCACCGACTACTGTTGTGTTTCTGACAAGATAAGGAAATGCTTCCTGCCCTGCCCACTCAGGGGTTTCAAAAGGAGGATAAAGGAGTTGGAAAGGAACAGAGAGGATCCGTGAGACCCTGCAGCTGGCTGTGTT